TTGAGTCAGAACTGACTCGCCGGTACTTAATGTTTCCCAAAAGTCCTTTTTGGCAAAATGTATTTATGTTTCTCTCCACTCCTTAGACTTAACTCAAGCTGCCACCATCATTCAATATTCTTCTTCTCTACTTTTTGGTCCTACAAATTCTTTAAAGCTCCGATTACAGCCATTTTCTCTATAACACTTTCCTCAACCTATTCAGATCACCCTGATGTCCCTATTATGACTACATGGATGCGTTATGAAAAACTTTATAGTCTTTTAAGTTACTTTATCATAAACTGTGGCACTGTAGGATAAGCACTGGACTACTAACCTCAAGGCTGGTGATTTAAATCTACCAGTTGCTCCTTGAAAACCCTATACATGGTCACGATGAGTCAGATCTGACAACAATGTCCTCTCACAAAAGAATTTATATTTCTCATTATTCTCCTACCCCCTCAGTACTTATTTAATCTCTATTTAAGGATTCTGCTTAGAACTATTGAAGGGATAAAAACAGAGAGTCCCACTTAAGAGTGCTCATCTTACCATATGCCAGTTCCTATATAAAAAAACCAGGGAAGGCATGGAGGACTTAAAGGGCAGCTATGTATGTAGATGTGGTTCTCACCTAGCTTACCTAGAACTAGGAACAAAAGATATACCATATGCTGAGGACAAGAGTTGGCTCAATGTGTTTCTTAACAATGCAACCCTGAATTATTACTAAACGTGATGCAGGAATAGTGCTCAGCATCCTACCAGTGATGAAAGGCATGGGGACCTTTACCAAAGAATGAAGTTTAAATATACCTTCTTAACAAGTTCTCGCATAGCCAGAAGTTTTCCAGTTTCAGATCCAACAAAGAGAAGTTCTTGTTCTACCGTCTCTACTGCAGAATTCCTGACGGGTGGGGGTGGTGGTGAGAGTTTAGTTTGCAAAAGCCAAAAAAACATTAGTTTGCTTCCCTCCTGAACGTTAAATCAACTTTTCTGCTATCAATTGTTGTTAATGTGCCAAATACAATGCATAGTGACCCTGGACAGAGTTTTCAAAGAGCAGCTGATGAGTTTGAACCAACAACCCTGCAGCATAATTTTTAACATTCTAGTATACTGTGGTCATAAATATTAATATATTTTAAATTATTTACCTATTAAAAATTTTCTAAAGGCAAAATTACTGGATAAAGCAATAACATTTAAATATTTTACATGACTGAACTTAATGACTATGAATAGCTAATTTATAGATCATTTGGAATGAGGTCTATTAAAACTTTATTAACAGAGTCTATGTTGTTCCATCCCTGGTGCTGCAGGAGAAACACTGGACTACTAATTACATGATCAGTGGTTCAAACCCATCAGCTGCTCCTTGGAAACCCTGTACAGGGTTGCTCTGAGTCAGAACCAACTCAAAGGCACTTAAACTGTTGTTAGGTGCCGTCTAGTCTGTTCTGACTCATCAACCCTATGAAACACGGCCAGGTCCCATGTGTCATCCTCACAAGTGTTATGTTTGGGCCCACTGCTGCTGTCACTGTGTCAACCATTTAGTTAAAGGTTTTCCTTTTTATGCTGACCCTCCACTTTATCAAGCATGATGGCCTTCTCCAAGATCTGGTCCTTCCTGACAACGTGTCTAAAGTACAAGAGATGAAGTTTCCCATCCTCGATTCTAAAGAGCATTCTGGCTATACTTCTTCTAAGACAGACTTGTTTGATTTTCTAGCAGTCCATGGTACTTTCAATATTCTTTGATAATTCAAATGCATCGATTCTTCTATGGTTTTCCTTATTCACATGTATATGAGGAGTGACTGACAATACCATGGTTTGACTCAGGCCCACCTTATTCCTCAAAGTGACATCTATGCTAACACTCTAAGGGGTCTTTTTGCAGATTTGCCTAATGTAATGCTGCTCCTCGGAAACCCTACACAGGGTCACTATGGGTCAGAATCGACTCAATGGTACTTAACATGTAGCTTGATTTCTTTTTTTTCGCCAGCAAGCTTACATGCCTGCTCATGTGTTCCCTCTCAGTTTCAGTCCTGAAGGAGGGTTTGTACCAAAGGAACTTGATTATCTGCCTTGATGGCTCCCTGGTGATCAACTTGCTTGCTCTTGTACTAGCCAATCAGACTGCACTTTTTGTTTTTGATTTTTTTTCTGCTGTTCTTTCTTTCAAAGAAGTATCTTCTGTTCCTCTTAGCTGTTCCAGGCTGGTCTACATGTTCTTTCAAATGGGAATGTCCCACTTCAGAAGGTTCTGGATGGGGATCAGGATTCTACCTAAGGTCCTGTACTCTAAAGGCTCCACAAGAAGCCTATTTCACTGGGCAAGTTCTAGAATCCCTTTTAGATATTTCCTTACAAGACGGGCTTATGAAGATGGGCTTACAGGCTTTCGGTAATCAAGTTTGCCGATATTCCTTTCTATCCCACTCAAGTGTCTATTGGTCTGATTTTAATGGATTATTTCAGAAACCCTAAACAGTGTCTCTATAAGTTAGTATTAACATCAACATGATTTGTGGTTGGCAATTTTGTTTTCTTTCAGAGTTTTATGTATGTCATCCCCTTTTCTTCTTGCAAGGTTTCTGCTAAGCCCTTACTTACTTACTCTCACTTTCCTTTGTAGGTACCTTCTAGTTTTTGCTGAGCTGCTCTCAGGAATCTTTGTATTTGGTATTTTAAAGTTTGATTTTATGTTTTAATGATTTTCTTTTGGTGTGTAGCCTGGTTGGAATTTGTTCAACTTGAACGGGTATCTTTCCATCATTCATGATGCTAAGGAAGTTTTCTTTGAAATACTCTTGGGACAATTTTCTCTATTTTTTTTTTTACAGTTCTGGAATTCCAATTATGTATGTTATTCCTCTTCATACTGTCACCAATAAATCTTAGGTTCTCTGGATTTTTTATAATTTTTTTTCATTGTCTTCTAGCAGATGAATATTGAGAGATTTACCTTCCAGCAGCTTTTTACTGATTCAGTTCTACTTCTTTGCCCTGCTCTTTCAATGTATTATCTATTTCTAAAGTCTTAGTATTAATCTTCTGGTTTTCTAATTGCTGTTTTTGTATGGTTGCAAAATGTCAGTTTGTTTTCTGAATTATTCTAAAGTTTTGTCACATTTTCCTTGCTTTCCTCTGTAGTAGTCTCAATCATTCTCTCAAACTGTTGAAGATACTTAAATATCATTCTTCTGAATTCCTTATCAAGTAGTTATACCATTTCTTGTATTATATTTTCTGATTACAGCCAATATTTCTAGAAAATATGATTCTGAACCACTCAGTATCCCCTTGTTCTATTTTAACAACTGCTTCTTGGCATATGTACAGGTTCCTCATACGCACAATGAGGTGTTCACAACGTTATCCATAGTTTGTTATGATCCACACAGTCAAATGCCTTTGCATAGTCAACAAAACACAAGTAAACATCTTTTTCGTATTGTCTATTTTCAGCCAAGATCTGCCTGACGTCAGTATTGACATCCCTTGTTCCATGTTCTTTTCTGGCAGCTCTCTGTGGATGTACTGCTCCAACAGTTTTTGAATTATATCAGCGAAGTTCTACTTATGTGTGATATTAACACTTTGATGATTCCGTATTCTACTGGGTCATGTTTCTTTGGAATGGCACAAACATGGGTCTGTTTCCATTGGTTGGCCAGGTAGATGTCTTCCAAATTTCTTGGTATAGACCAGTGAGCATCTCCAACATAGCATCAATTTGTTGAAACATTTCAACTGGCAATCTATCAATTCTTGGCGCCTCGTTTTTCCTCAATGCTTTCAGTGCAGCTTGGATTTCTTTCAATACCCTCATTTCTTAATCACATGCTACCTACTGAATATCAACCAATTCTTTTCAGTACAAATGACTGAGTATTTTTCCATCTTCTTCTGATGCTTTCTTATCCATCAATATTTTGCCCATAGATCCCTTCATTATTCTAACTCAAGGCTTGAATTTTTTCTTCAGTTCTTTCAATTTGAGAAATGCTGAGTGTGTCCTTTTTTTGTTTTGTTTTTAAACTCCAGGGCATTGCACATGTCATTATAATATTTGTCTTCAGCTGCTTTTTGAAAAAATTTTCTGTTCAGCTCTTTTACTTCATCATTCATGCCAATATCATTAGCATTTTTTTTTTTTTAACTTTGAAATGTAATCCGTATTAAAGGCTGCAGTCTTTGATCTTCACCACTAAGTATTTCAAATACTTTTCGCTCCCAACAAGCAAGGTTATTTCATATGTCTCACCACAGGATATTCATGACGCTTCCTCCAATGTCACATTCTTCTTCATATAATCCAGCTTCTCAGATTATGTGCTCAGCATAAAGACTGAAAAAGTAAGGTAAAAGGATACAATCCTGACGTACACCATTCCCAAATTTAAACCATTCAGCACCCCTTTGTTCTGTTTGAATGACTGCCTCTTGGGCTATGTACATACAGGTTCCTCATGAGCACAAGTAAGTGTTCTGAAATACCCATTCTTCACAATGTTATCCAAAGTCTGTCATGATCCACAATTCTAAAGCCTTTGCATAGTCAATAAAGCATAAACATCTTTCTGGTGTTCTATGTTTTCAGCCAAGATTCATCTAATGTATCAGCAACGATATCACTGATTCTATGTTCTTTCCTAAATTTGGCTTGAATTTCTGGCAGTTCTCTGAAATGAATTGCTGCAACTGTTTTTGAATTATTTTTAGCAAATCTTTCATGGGATATTAATAATGCTATTTAATTTCTACATTCTTTGGACCATCTTTCTTTGAAATGGGCACAAATATGAATCCCTTCCAGTCTACTAGAAGAGAGTCCTGGTGTGGCACTGTGAGTTAATGCTCTGGATTGCAAAATCAATTTGAACTGTAAGGTCGATGGTTCAAGCTCACCAGCTGCTCCTTGGAAACTCTACAAGGTGGCTATGGGTTGGAACTGACTAGACGGCATTTATCAAGAACCAGTCTACTGGATAGGTAGCCATCTTCCAAATATCCTGGCATAGACAAGTAAGCACTTTCAGTATTGCATCTGTTGGTTGAAACATCTCGATTGGTATCCCATCAATTCCTGGAACCTTGTTTTTCACCAATGTTTTCAGTGCAGCTCGGAGTTTTCCTTCAATGCCATCAGTTCTTAATCACATGCTACCTCCTGATAAGGTTGAACATCAACCAATTCTTTTGGGTACAGAGAGACCCTGTGTATTCCTTCCATCTTCTTTTGATGCTTCCAGCATCACTGAATATCTTGTCCATAAAATCCTTCAATATTGCAACTTGAGGCTTGATTTTCTTTTTCTATAGTTGTTTTAGTTTAAGAAATACCAAGTGTGTTTTCTTTTGGTTTTCTAACAACGGGTCTTTGCACATTGCATTATAATAGTTTGTCATTCAAGCTGTCCTTTGAAATTTTCTGTTGAGCTTCTCTATGTTCAAGTGCAAGTTTCAGACTCTCTTCTGGCATCCATTCTGGTCTTTTCTTTCTTTCCTGTTTATTTTGGTCCTGGTGGGCTTATTTCAATTTTCTTCAGCTTCAGCCAGAACTTGCATATGAGCAATTGATGGGTCTGTTCCAGTCAAACTGTGGCTTTACTTTGGCTAATGATAGCTAGCTTGCTTTTCCAGTTTCTTCTCACATATGAAATCAACTTCATTCTTGTCCTGGTGTGTGTGGCACTCTGGGCTAATGTGCTGGACTGGACTGCAAAGTCGGTTGGTTTGAACTGCAAGGTCAGCGGTTCAAACAAAACTGCTGCTCCTTGGAAACCCCAGACAGGGTTGCTATGGGTTGGAACTAACTAGATGGCACTTAACAACACTACAAATTCCATCTGGTGAGGTCCACATGTATAGTCAGTTTACGTTGTTGAAAAGGTATTTGATTTGCAATGCAAATTTCTATTGGTCTTGCAAAATTCTATCATGTTATTTCCAGTATTATTTCTATCACCAAAGCATAATTTTTCCAATGGATCCATCTTCTTTTCAACTTCTGAATTCCAATCACCATCAATTATCAGTGTTATCTTGATTATATGTTTGATCAATTTCAGACTGAAGAAATTGATAGAATTCTTCAATTTCATCATCTCTGGCTTTAGTCGTTGGTATGCAAATTTGAGTAACAGTTGCATTGATTGGTTTTCCTTGTAGGATATTATCCTATCAGACAGCATTGTATTTCAAGATAAATCTTATAATGTTCTTTGTGATGTAAGTGAAACCATTCTCTTTAATTTGTTGTTCTTGGCTTAGTAAACCACATAATTATCTGATAAACATGGCCAGCACCAGTGTATTTCAGCTCACTAATGCCTAGGACATCAATCTTTATGCATTCCATTCTATTTTTGATGACTTAAAATTTTCCTAGACTCATACTTGGTACATTTCATGTTTTTATTATTGAGTATTCATGTTTATCATTTGTATGGGTTGCATAATACTTTATTAAAATTTCCATAATCACTTTTTTTTTTACCAGAGAACATTTATTTAAGCAAGCCTTAGTGGTGTAGTGGTTAAAGCTTTTGGCTGCTAACCAAAAGGTAAGTGGTTCAAACCCATCAGGAAAAAGATGAGGCAGTATGCATCTATAAAGATTTATAGCTTTGGAAACCCTATGTGGCAGTTCTTCCCTGACCTATAAGTTAGAATTCACTCAAAGGCAGTGGCTTTTTCAGTTTTCTATGTGGTGCTAGTTAAGCCATCATGAAGCTAACTCCTCTGGATGGCCACAAGCCTTAGGTCATAGTTTCTGTGTGGGAAAGGTCATCTACTAGTATGAGCTTAGGTGTTAAGTATCCTCGAGTCAGGTTCCCACCCACAGCAACCCTGTATAGGGTTTCCAAGGAGCAGCTGGTAAACTTCAACCATAGGCCTCTTGGTTCAAGTAACCAATAGTGCCACACCAGGAATCCAAAAGTACGAATTGTTGTTGTTGTTAAGTGATGTCAAGTCGGTGCTGACCCATAGCGATCCTGTATAGGGTTTCCGAGGAGCAGCTGGTAAACTTCAACCGTAGGCCTTTTGGTTCAAGTAACCAATAGTGCCACACCAGGAATCCAAAAGTACGATTTGTTGTTGGTGTTAAGTGATGTCAAGTCGGTGCTGACCCATAGCAACCCTGTATAGGGTTTACGAGGAGCAGCTGGTGAGCTTGAACTGCCGACCTTGTAGTTCAAATGGCTTTGCAGTCTGGCGCATTAACCCACAGCACCAAACCAGGACTTCAAAAGTATGATAGGGATACTAAAATGATAATTTTAGAAGCTCTCTTAGAATTCAGAACAGAGGATTCCTATTCAATGTTGACTTAAAAGAATATGATTCTATCAGTAAAATTCTCTCCCTACTAATTTCAGGCCAAGCAATCTACCACCTTCAGTGTAAAATACTGACTTATAATTAAAGAAAAAAGCAGTGAAACAATGTGGAAGAACAATTACCTTGCTCCAATGGATACAGTAATGACATTGTCCAGGTTGAGTTTGCACCACTGCTCAACATCATATGCAAAAGTGGCACTGAACATAGCTCTCCTGATCTTGTGGGATGTGCATGCCAGGAAAATGGATGCCAGCTGGTCTCTGAACCCAGTTTTTCCATCTTCAAACAATTTGTCTGATTCATCCACTATGAGCCACTCAACACTAAGAAGTAACAAAGCAACTTGAGGATAACGAACTAGCAGATCCAAGAAAAATTAAATGGTAAGGACACACGAGGAAGTCAGACCATGATTCTACTCTCAGATTTATTTTATCATAACAGAAAGAAGCGTAAGAAAAATAAGGAGAAAGGTAAACCTCAAAGATATGACATTCCAATCAGCAATAACAGAAACTCATATACACCTTTTGAACTCTACTGTCATTGTGGAGATGTGAAAGGTCTGTGGAATTCTGCACTAACTCCTTATAAATACATGTAACTTTTTCCAGGTCTGTTCTTTTCCTACGGATTTAATAAAAACCCTTATTCTCAAGACCATCACTGACTACAAGTTGCCAGATAGCAAGCTCTAAGGAGTAATTAAGATAATAAAAAATTAAAGATAAAATATAATCAAATGGAAAACAAACATAAAGGACATGAAAATATTCTCTGTACCTTGTTAGGTCTATTCCTGGAGGATCTTGCTTTAATAAATAAATCAGTCGATTTGGAGTGGTCACAAGAATATCTATAGAAAAAACAAATGGTGCAAATTGCAAAAACAAGAGTTAATCTTGACCTCGGAAATTCATCTTCCTTGAATTTCAGTTAATAACTTAAAGTGGGAAGGGGAAGGAGTGGTAATACTCACTAACCCAACAACAAAATTCTTCCTTATTAGTAAGCTTAATATATGAAGGAGCTTTAAAATGTTATTTGAAAAATTCCATTCTTTTAATTCCATTTTCCATTAAGTTGTTGAAGCCTCATTTGATTTTTTAAATTGATCATAGCACAAACTGCTGTATCCCTATTCTCATTTTATTATTTTTAAACTGCCTTCTCAATTTAGAGAAGCAAGAACATTATAATTCAGCAGTTTGGTTTTTAAACTTTTTTTTTATTTTGCAGAAAAACCCTCTTTAAATGAACCTTTACTCAGAAGTTCAAGGTAAGACAAGTAAAAGTACATCCTCTGTTCTCTGGAGGACATAAAGATAGGGAAGTTAGCCATTCATTGTTAGAGTATTGCCTAGGGTTTCACGTGGCAACTTGAGAAAACCAGTGATTTAAAGGAAGGTGTCATAGATTCAATTGTGTCCACCTAAAATATGTGTCATGATTGTCAGTGGTTTGGCAGTTACGTAATTTTAAATAACTAAATTCTGAAGGGCTGTCTTTTAGGATGTTTAACAGAATCTCTAGCCTCCACCTAGTAGTAGAAGCCACAGCTCCCCTCACTAAAGATGACAATGAAAAATTTTGTAAATATTGACAAATGTCTCCAAGATAGCAGGAAGTCAAAGATGAATCTAGTAAAGAATCGGTGGTCTACATTAACAGAGCTACTGGGTAGGAGCAAGAAGAGGGGAAGGAGTGCTTCTTTTAGCTCCTCTAAAAATCAAACCAATTATACAGAGGACTGCACTTAGGTGGCTGTTAGTATACCTGCAATTTCCGAATCTCTTACATGTCCAAGAATGAATTGCTTACCAAACTTCTTAGATGATTTAGGTCCAAATTTTTTGGCTGCCACTGCTGCTTTGTGAATCATGTGTATCCTGAATCCTGTTCCTTCAGAGATTTTTAGTAACTCTCGGTGAATCTAAAAACGAAAATAATAAAAACAGTAGCTGCTTAGGTACATGGATAAGAGACATAACCTTTTTACTTATTAACAAAATCAACTGACCCATGAATTTTTGAAATTAAACCTGCAATAATCATCTGAAGATTAATCTGGAATTTTAACAATCAAAACTTCAATGTCTAATAAGATTTGGTAGTCTTGTTAAGCCTAGTAAACTAGTTCTAAGAGACTTTTTACAAACATTTCTTTAGTTTGCCATATAGTCATTTTAGAACACAACAAAATTATAAGCCAATTATCATACTTCATACTTAAGCATATTGGGAGGGTGGAGGAGAACTGTGGTTTTAATTTCTCAAAAACTGCGGTAAGGTTTCATCTTACTAGGTGATAAAAATAAGTTTTAGAGCTTATATTATAGTGGCCTTTCAGCTTCAATGATCTTAAGAGCAGTTTCCAAGAAGTGTGTTAGTACCATCATCTTTTAGAAAATTATGGAAGTGCTTAAGACATGCTCAGATGCAGTAGGATATATATGACAGAAATGAAGATTGTGCTTTTTTTCAGACCTTTTTATTAGATCACTGAACACTCAAAAGCTGTAAGTCATACCTGACTGGCAAGTTCTCTTGTTGGTGATATAATCAGAGCCCTGAAGCCTTTATTTGTGGGTTGTTTCAGCTGCATTAAAATGGGAATGCTAAAAGCCAGAGTCTTTCCAGATCCAGTAGGAGCAGAAGCCAGGAGTTCTCGACCCTAAAAACATGAGTATAATACATACAAGAAGTGCCTACATTTTTCATAGCCTAGTCAAAAAATGCTGTCAGCCACAGAAATGACAGAATTATAATAAATCTAATCATTCAAGTCCCCATGTGCTTTTAAAACTTACACACATCACTGCTTTTCTAACACCTCCCACCCCTACCACCACCCCCCCAAAGGAGCTTCTGGGCACTGCCACTTAGGTCCATCTATATAACCTGAACCGAGTAAACAATATGCTGATGCTGTTAAGTATTGTGGAGTCGGTTCCAACTCATAGTGAACATGCAAGTGTATAGAGACCAAAGTTTATTATTGGCTACTGAGGGTGAGCAATAGGGAGGGGGAAGTGGAAGACACTGCATAGGGGACATAGAGCTTCCGTTAAGGGTGACAGAAAAAAACTTGGAAACGTGATGACTGAACAACATGATGAACATTATTAATGTCAGTGAACTATACAAATGAAGTAAGTTAAAATGACAGGTAGTTGTCACATATATTTTTACCCCTCCCAAATCACACACACAAAAGTGGCTATGACTGAGCAACAATCATTTAAAAGTGACAGTCTTCAAATAGTCACTGAGACTTTTAAAGCTTTAAGCTAAAGTCAAGACAGAATTTTATAGTATCATTCAAATATGCAAATGTGTTATCATTTTAGTTCCTGAAGAATGAGAAGGACTAGTATGGATGAAAAGGTAACTCACACCCTTTGATTACCAAAACTCGAGACCATCTTGGTTATATGGGGGGTAAATTTCTCATCTCTACAAAGTTTTTTTAAGTTTACTTCTAAAATCAATAGGTTAACGGATAGCTAAATTGTGCTATAATCATACAATGTAAAACTTTCAGCAATAAAAAGTTAACAAGCTACTAACATATGCAATGCGGATGAAACTTTTAAAACATTATGCAGAGCAAAAGACAAAAATTAAATAGTGAATAACATATTATCATTTATATGAAATTCTAGAAGCAAAACATTTGGGGACAGAAATCACAACACTGGCTGCCTCTGGGTGCTCCTGAGTGAGGTTTGAATTAAATAAAGCACACGAGAATTTTCTGGGACTCTAACAATGCTCTAAAGAATCCTGGTAGCACAGTGGGCTAACCATCCGGCTGTTAACCAAAAGATCAGCAGTTCAAACTCACCATTCATTCTGTAGGGGGAAAATGTTGCTGTCTGCTCCTCTAAAGATTTACGGTCTTGTAAACCCTACAGAGCAGTTTTGCACAGTCCTATATAGAGTCGCTGAGTCAGAATCAACTTGATGGGAGTGAGTTTGGGTTTCTTTTTTTGTTTGGGAATGTACTATATCTTCATTAGGGTGGTCACTACATTGCTGAAACTCGCTGAACAGTGTACTTAAAACTTATGCCCTTTTCTGTATGTAAATTTATTTCAATAGTAAAAAGAAATAGGAAACACTGGTTACCTAAAACGAGGAGGCAATAAAGGCACGAAGTGACTGGCTTACAAGGTTTCAAGAGGGAGCTTAATTTAAGAGTGTGGGGGGGAAGAAATAGTCCCCACTGAATAGTTTTCATCTTGTCTAGATGGGTCTGGTTAAAATAGATGGGGATAAGATTCTTAGGATTCAATAGTGAGTAATTGTTGTCACGACTAATTGCCACTGTCACAACTGTCAATGTAGAAGTTTTGTAACAAAAATGGGGGAGCAGTTAATTTTATAGTCCAGAAACAGAGGACCCTAGGACCACCAAGGGAGAAGAGCACAAAGTAGAATGCAGGACCTTATCCAGAGAAGCAGCAACACCAGAGACAGAGGCAGAGATGAGGACATGGAGACAGGGAGCGGCTGAGGACTCTAGATTCATGGGAAGAGAGGGACTAAGAGGTGGTGGTCATGAGGCAGACTTGCAGAATGTGCCCTTTGGTGGTATAATTATATATGCCTGAATGTTTTTCTATTTAAAGAAAGAGCTAAAGTGAATAGAGAGAAATACTGTTAATGGATGGTACATGGAGAGGAATGTAATCATTGTGATGAAATGTATGATTTGTTGAATGTAAAACTGATATGCCCTGTAAACTTTCACTCAATCCACAATAAAAACTTAAAGAAAAAACCAAACACAAAAAACCTCTATAGAACACAGCTCTACCTGCACAGATGGGGGTCACTGTTAGTTGGAATAAACTTGATAACAATTAACAAGAGTAGGTATAATGCTGCTGGATGGGAAAATGAACTTTACAATGAAGTAATCAGGAAAGTCAGCATTCTTTCAAAGGGTCACATGATTGTAAACCCCAAAACACTGTTATTAAGTGTATCCAACTTATAGTGGGGTGTAGTTATTCTTTATACCTTGTATAGAAGCAGGATGTCCTATCTTTCTCTTGTGGAGCAGTTTGTTTGTTTAAACTATTGGCCTTTGGTTAGCATTTGGGCCTTTAAACTACTGTATCATGAGGGGCTCTTTATATACTTGCCAGTCACATGGATATCAGGGGCACTGATATGGCACCAGTGTTAGTTCTGTACACTTTTACTCTCTAGCTCTCCATCACTCAGTGCTTGAAAAGGATTCTATGCAAATAGATATCTCTCTGAAAATTAGTTGGAATCAGTTGTTTCTCAGGGTCTTCTCAGATATTAGCCTATGTCAGTAACATACTTACTCCCTAAGTAGAATCATTGCTAGCAAGAA